AGGCGCTAGGGCGAGCGGCGCTCGGGCGCTAGGGCGGGCGGCCGTCAGGGCTCTAGGGCGGGCGGCGCTCGGGCGCTAGGGCGGGCGGCGCTCGGGCGCTAGGGCGGGCGGCGCTCGGGCGCTAGGGCGGGCGGCGCTCGGGCGCTGGGGCGGGCGGCCGTCAGGGCGCTAGGGCGGGCGGCCGTCAGGGCGCTAGGGCGGTTGGCGCTCGGGCGCTAGGGCGGGCGGCCGTCAGGGCGCTAGGGCGGGCGGCCGTCAGGGCGCTAGGGCGGGCGGCCGTCAGGGCACTAGGGCGGGCGGCCGTAAGAGGAGGGAGCGGCGGGAGCGCGACGGTAGGGGCGACACGCAGGGTTGCTAAAAAAAAAAAAAAAAAAAACGCGCGCTTCGGTGGGCCCTAGGAACAGTCCCTAGGAGGGGACCTGCTCTGATTCCATGAGAAGAATTGAACGAGAATGAGATGAGTATGAACGAAGTGAGTACAAATAGGAAACCCTAATTGTGTTGTACCCCCTATGGGATACCCCACTATAGCCTACACAAACAAGCAAGCTATGTGTTCTGACATGGTTTCACTAGCAAGAGTTGGGATACAAGTACAACACCCTAAATTGGGTTGTACTCATTACAGAGTACCCCACTGCAGGCTAGACAGCAAATACATTCTGACATTGTTCTCGTTGAACGTAACGACCCGAAGAGCACATGTGCTGTCGCAGCAGCTGTCCAAAAACCAGGTGTCTTTCCCGGATGGCTCGCTCTGGGTGATGGCTGCGTACGTCAGGATCGGCTCCAGTGACTCGCGGCGAGGAGTAATTTTATCAAGCAGTTCTTCTTGTGAGTAGTGCGGTGGTGATTCGGTAACGCAAGAGTCTGATATTCTTGCCATGTAGCTCACGATGTTTCTTGTGCCTTGTGCAGGCTGAGTTGTCGATGTCGTTGAAGACTGCACTTGATTGGTAGGATGCGCCTGTGTGGAAGCCACATGACTGCTTGAAGGTCGAAGTTGACGTTGCGTCGGCGATGTCTGCTGCTGATTTGGGCAGTGAGTGCGAGGATGTCCTGACGTTTTGCAGAGGTGGCGCAATGGTGGTACGTGTCGTTGTGCTTGATACTTGTTCTACCAGTTGTCGTTGTTGTTGTAGTGCTGTTGAGTGTGAAATGCCAGCTAAAGTGCTGACGTTCTTCTCTTGTGACGCTCTTCGTGCAGGTCCATGTCCTGCTGTTCAGCGTGTATTTTGGCGCAGAGTGCCGCTTCGGAGATCTTTCCGTGAGCTCGGAGAACAGCTCGAGTGGAGCGCCAATGAGGGCCAAGGCCACTAACGACGACCGTAACGAATGCTTCTTCGGATATCGATCCACCGCATCGAATGAGTCTATCGCGCAGTCCGCGACAACGACTGATATACGCCATTCCCTTTTCACCCGGTTTCATTTCCACTGTTGTCACTTGTGCCATGAGGCGGCTCTGATTAACGCTGTTTGTTGCTTGATACAGGTTCTTCAGATGGTTGTACGCGAGCCCGACAGAGTTGCCATAACCACGATAAGACCGGATGTTCTGTTGCTCGTTCGGCGTTATGTTTTATAGAAGTATTGTATACGCCATCAGCGACTGATACGTGTACTGCTGCTTGTCATACTGTGTTCCGTGCGTTGGGTATGGCAAGGAACCGTCGAAGAATCCGAGGATTTGCGCGCCTTCCATCATCAGCTCGAACTCGAATGACCAGGCATAAAAATCCTTGCCGTTGAATGGTGTTGACGTTTGTAGTCTTAGAACGTGAGCAAACTGCGACTGTACTTGAAGTGCGTCTAGTGTCCTTTCTTGTCCAGGTGGAGGCTGATTCGGCATGAAGCTGGTGGAGCAGCGTCGAGGCTCGTACGAAGCAAATGTAGGTTGTTGATTTCCGCGCATATATGATGAGCCGTCAAGACTCATTGGTGTGGCGCCATTGTTGTTGTCGCTGTTGTTTGATTGCGCAGGTGCTGCTTGCTGGTGCTGCTCGTAGAAGGACATGAATGCAAAGAACTTCTCCATCATGCTTGGGTCGAAGCTGGTTGTTCGATTCGCAGGAGTTTCAGTAGACTCACCAGCTGGTCTTGTCGCCGTGCCATCCTCTGTTTGTAGGCTAGAGGCTGAAGGTGGAGTATGAGTAGTGCCGGGAGATCCGTTAGAGGAGCTTCTTTCCTTCTGTGTTGCCATGCCTTCTGTTATACGAGTTTGAATGAAGTTGGATCTTGCCTTGGAGGCTCTCATACCATGTTGGGCTGAGAAATGCCCTTAGGATCTTTTTAAGGCTATGACCCTGAGTAAGAATGTTGATATTGCGGAAGCGTTCTTAGTGAACTATTTGTTGGAAACAATCGTTCCTAAGCGCCTCTGTCGTGTCGAAACACTAAGGCACAAGCGAAGCAGAGCAAATCGAGGCACCAGCAAGTCAACCCTCGGAGGTTGAAGTAACCGCTGGAGGTTACGCGAAAGTCAAAGGTCAGCGACCTTTGCCCTGACAAATGCAGCGCGACAGCAAGGACACACAACCGACTCTTTCTAGAGCAGTTGCCCGAGTCGTCACTGTATCGAACCGCAACAGCAACAGTAAAATAGTTATATTTGTGTCTCTTCATATTCTCTGTATTCATATATAATCTTGTATCACTTTGCTTAAATTAATTTACTTTGCCCTCACATACTAGCGCAAGGTGGTTCACAAACTCTTTATTAAGACGCTTCCGCTACTACATCAACTCTACCCAGAATTCACCTCTGCAAAGATCCTAAGGGATTTTTCAGCCCAACACTATTGAACCACCTCGCACTAGTGTGTGAGAGCAAGAGATTGGTTATAGCAAAGTAATACAAGGTTTTTTTATAAGATTACATAGAATACGAAGAGATGCATTTTAACCGTTTTGTTGACGTTGCGGTTCGATACAGCAACGACTCGGGCAATTGCTCAATACCGAGTCAGTTGTGTGTCCTTGCTGTCGCGCTGCCTTTCGTCAAGTTAAAGGTCGCCGACCTTTGACCTCCGCGTAACCTCCAGCTGTTACTTTTTGTCAACCTCCTTGGCTGACTCGCCATTGCTTCGCTGTAACGTGCCTCGTTTTTGTTCGATGTTCCGACACATCAGAAGCATTAAATTACTTGTTTCCAACAAAAGCGACCTATCTAGCAATGTACTCTAAGGGGTACATTTCCTTTAGAATGTTCTTAGAGTGAAGAAAGGAAAAGGGGCATTCACTAAGAATTGTGGGTACAAATAGGAAAGAGAAGGTGGCACAAGGGGGGGTACACCACCAAGAGAGAACAAGAAAATACACAACCTAGTGTACATGCAGTTATATATAACAAATATAACTTCTAACATCCCCCCTTAATTGCATGCACAAGTAGGTAGTGAGAGGCAGGCAAGTGAGGAGGAGGCGAGAGGAGAGGAGAGAAGAGGAGAGGAGGTGGGGGTGTGCAGGAGCGCGCACGCTCAATGCCCGGGTACCCGCTTATGAACCTCCTTTTACAAAGGGGGAGGTGAGAGAGGAAAGGGAGAGGAGGTGGGTTAGGTGGGCATGAGCGCGCACGCTCATAGCGATCCCCCCCCGTTAATAACCCCCAAGTCCCGATGAGGAGAGGAGGTGGGCTAGGTGGGCATGAGCGCGCACGCTCATAGCGATCCCCCCCCCGTTAATAACCTCCTAGTCCTCACCCCCCTTTTCAGTCAACCCCTTTAACCTTTCTACGTCCGCCACCCCCTCACCCTCCTTAACCTCTCTCATCCCCCCTTAACCTCTCTCTCTCTCCCCCCCCCCCACACAGCAACAAGTGCTGCAGGAAGAGAGGTAGAGCCAAGGGAGGGACGGGTTGCTGGCTGCTCACACCTGCCACCCCCACATCCCCCCCCCCCCCCCCCGACGTGCGGGCCTCGTGGCGACGAAACGGCGCAGGGTGACGCGGGGGCCGCGGGTCGATGAAACAGCTCGGGGCGACGCGGAGGACGCGACTGGCAGAACGGGCAGAGCGCAGGGCAACGAGCGCGACAGGCGCAGGGCGCGACGGGACGAAGAGAAATGGCGCATTTCACGCTGTAGTGGGCGGGCCCATGTTACTTAAAGAGAAAATTAGGTCCTTAGACCGTTTTTCTGCTCTGTACCATGTTAGCATGTTCTTAGTTATGCCTAGGGTTTGGGTGTTAGGCAACTGTCGAGAGAAGAAATAAAGAGGGACTGGAGAATTGTGGGTACAATTAGGAAAGGGGAAAATATGTCACAGGTAACCATCATGTGACCCGATAACGTCAATGGTAAAAAAAAAAAGCGTACGGTAACTGTATCGAGTGTCCTGACGGGCTTGGTAAGCGGGGTCACGGAATCAGTCACCATCAACAGCTAGGGTTTCACGCGAATGGTAACACATGAAACCCCCGCCAGAAATTCCTGAAACCAGGCCGATTTCCCGCTCGCGCCAACTCGTGCGGAGAGGTTTGATGCACGCTTGTACCGTCGAGCCTCCAGCCCACCGTAACCACACCACGACCCGACGTGCTGTACACCCCCCTGCCCGCTACGGTTCCAACCAAGTACAGAACCTTGACCCCAGCGCAGCTCTCCAACTTACTTCCCGCCATCAGCTATTCCTCACGCTATTACTAGTAGCTATCATACCTTTCGCCAGCTCCCTTCCCCGTCACGCATCCAAGGCGTTCGTTAGCAGCGCCTGACTTCCTATCAACGGTGCGTGCCTTAGCCCTAAAGCCTTTCCCCATCCATTCACGTTTAGTCCCTTGTTACTCGAAAATTACTACTAATACGAATGAATAAAGTCGATCAGACCGCTGTCGCGATGCGCCCACAAACCGGCGCGCCGAACAGCGCATCGCCCGATGCATCGGGCCCGATCGTCGCGAGATGCATCTCGCGACGATTAGGAGCAGCCGCCGCCGCGATGCGCATTGCGGCCAGCTTCGGGCCGCAAAGCGCATCGCGCCGACCGGGCCGCTGCCGCCGCGATGCGCATTGCGTCCTGCTTTTGGCCGCTCTGCGCATCGCGCCGACCAGGCCGCCGCCGTCGCAATGCGCAATGCGGCCACCCTGCCGGCCGCATTGCGACGATCCGCCACCGTGATGCGCTAACCCGCCGCTCCCATACGCTCTCATTCCCTCTCACCCACTCTCTTACGCTCTCATTCCCTCTCACCCACTCTCTTACGCTCTCATTCCCTCTCACCCCCTCTCTTACGCTCTCATTCCCTCTCACCCCCTCTCTTACGCTCTCATTCCCTCTCACCCACTCTCACACCCTCTCATTCCCTCTCACCCACTCTCATACGCTCTCATTCCCCCCACCCACTCTCATACGCTCTCATTCCCTCTCACCCACTCTCATACGCTCTCATTCCCTCTCACCCACTCTCATACGCTCTCATTCCCTCTCACCCACTCCCATACGCTCTCATTCCCTCTCACCCTCTCTCATACGCTCTCACTCCCTCTCACCCACTCTCATACGCTCTCATTCCCTCTCACCCACTCTCTCACGCTCTCATTCCCTCTCACCCACTCTCATACGCTCTCATTCCCTCTCACCCACTCTCATACGCTCTCCTTCCCTCTCACCCACTCTCATACGCTCTCATTCCCTCTCATCCCTTCTCATCCCCTCTCATTCACTCTCATACACTCTCCTATACTCTCATACTCTCTCATCATCCCTTATCATACACTCTCATTCACTCTCATCCCCTCTCATCCTCTCTCATCCCATGTCATTCCCTCTCATATACTCTCACACCCTCTCGTACCCACTCATATGCACTCATATACACTCTCATCCCCTCTTATACACTCCCACACACACTCATACACTCTCATACACTCTCATTCACACTCATCCCCTCTAATCCCCTCATATCCCCTCTCATCCCCTCCCATTCCCTCTCATACACTCTCACACACTCTCATACACTCTCTTACACACTCTCATCACTCCTCATCCACTCGCATACACTCTCAACCCCTCTCATGCTCTCTCATACACTCACATACACCCTTATTCACTCTCATCCCTCCTCATCCACTCTCATATACTCTCAACCCCTCTCATCCTCTCTCATACACTCACATACACCCTTATTCACTCTCATCCCCTCTCATACAAACTCATACCCCCTAATCCGCTCTCATCCACTCTCATACAACTCAATTACACTCTCATTCACACCCATCCCCTCTTATCCCCTCACATCCTCTCTCATACACTCTCATCCCCTCTCATACACTCTCATACACTCTTGTACACACTCATACCCTCCCATACACTATCATATACGCTATCATCCCGTCATACTCTCCCGTACACACTCATACACTCTCATCCCTTCCCATATACTCTCATACACTCTCATCATCCCTTATCATACACTCTCATTCACTCTCATCCCCTCTCCTCCCCTCTCATCCCATCTCATTCCCTCTCATACACTCTCATACACTCTCGTACCCACACATACCCACTCATAGACTATCATATACACTCTCATCCCCTCTTATACACTCCCCAACACACTCATACACTCTCATCCCTGCTCATCCCCTATCATCCCCTCTCATCCCCTCTCATCCCCTATCATCCCATCTTATACACTCTCACCCACTCTCATACGCTCTCATACCCTCTCACCCACTCTCATACGCTCTCATTCCCTCTCACCCACTCTCATACTCTCTCATTCCCTCTCACCCACTCTCATACGCTCTCATTCCCTCTCACCCACACTCATACGCTCTCATTCCCTCTCACCCACTCTCATACGCTCTCATTCCCTCTCACCCACTCTCATACGCTCTCATTCCCTCTCACCCACTCTCATACTCTCTCATTCCCTCTCACCCACACTCATACGCTCTCATTCCCTCTCACCCACACTCATACGCTCTCATTCCCTCTCACCCACACTCATACGCTCCCATTCCCTCTCACCCACTCTCATACGCTCTCATTCCCTCTCACCCACTCTCATACGCTCTCATTCCCTCTCACCCACTCTCATACTCTCTCATTCCCTCTCATCCACTCTCATCAACTCTCATACGCTCTCAACCCCTCCCATCCACTCTCATCCCCTCTCATCCCCTCTCACACACTCTCATTCCCACTCATCTTCTCTCGTCCTATCTCACACACTATCATTCCCCCACATTCACTCTCATCAACTATCATACACTCATATTCACTCTCATCCCCTCTCATCCCCTCTCATCCACTCTCATCCCCTCTCATCCACTCTCGTTCCCCTTCACACACTCTCATTCCCTCTCATACACTCTCGTACCCTCTCTTCCACTCACATTCCCTCTCATCCCTTCTCTTCCACTCTCAACCCCTCTCATCCCATCTCTTCCACTCTCATTCCCTCTCATCCCCTCTCCTACACTCTAATCCCCTCTCATACACTCTCATTTCCACTCATCCCCTCTCATTCACTCTCGTTCCCTCTCATCCCCTCTCATTCACGTTCATCCCCTTTCATCCCCTCTCATCCCCTCTCATCCACTCTCATACGCTCTCATTCCCTCTCACCCACCCTCACACCCTCTCATTCCCTCTCACACACTCTCATACGCTCTCATTCCCTCTCACCCACTCTCATACCCTCTCATTCCCTCTCACCCATACGCTCTCATTCCCTCTCACCCACCCTCACACGCTCTCATTCCCTCTCACCCACTCTCATTCACTCTCATAAGCTCTCATCCCCCCTCATCCCCTCTCACACACTCTCGTTCCCTCTCATACACTCTCGTACCCTCTCTTCCACTCACATTCCCTCTCATCCCTTCTCTTCCACTCTCAACCCCTCTCATCCCATCTCTTCCACTCTCATTCCCTCTCATCCCCTCTCCTACACTCTAATCCCCTCTCATACACTCTCATTTCCACTCATCCCCTCTCATTCACTCTCGTTCCCTCTCATCCCCTCTCATTCACGTTCATCCCCTTTCATCCCCTCTCATCCCCTCTCATCCACTCTCATACGCTCTCATTCCCTCTCACCCACCCTCACACCCTCTCATTCCCTCTCACACACTCTCATACGCTCTCATTCCCTCTCACCCACTCTCATACCCTCTCATTCCCTCTCACCCATACGCTCTCATTCCCTCTCACCCACCCTCACACGCTCTCATTCCCTCTCACCCACTCTCATTCACTCTCATAAGCTCTCATCCCCCCTCATCCCCTCTCACACACTCTCGTTCCCTCTCATACACTCTCGTACCCTCTCTTCCACTCACATTCCCTCTCATCCCTTCTCTTCCACTCTCAACCCCTCTCATCCCATCTCTTCCACTCTCATTCCCTCTCATCCCCTCTCCTACACTCTAATCCCCTCTCATACACTCTCATTTCCACTCATCCCCTCTCATTCACTCTCGTTCCCTCTCATCCCCTCTCATTCACGTTCATCCCCTTTCATCCCCTCTCATCCCCTCTCATCCACTCTCATACGCTCTCATTCCCTCTCACCCACCCTAACACCCTCTCATTCCCTCTCACACACTCTCATACGCTCTCATTCCCTCTCACCCACTCTCATACCCTCTCATTCCCTCTCACACACTCTCATACGCTCTCATTCCCTCTCACCCACCCTCACACGCTCTCATTCCCTCTCACCCACTCTCATTCACTCTCATAAGCTCTCATCCCCCCTCATCCCCTCTCACACACTCTCGTTCCCTCTCATACACTCTCGTACCCTCTCTTCCACTCACATTCCCTCTCATCCCTTCTCTTCCACTCTCAACCCCTCTCATCCCATCTCTTCCACTCTCATTCCCTCTCATCCCCACTCCTACACTCTAATCCCCTCTCATACACTCTCATTTCCACTCATCCACTCTCATACGCTCTCATTCCCTCTCATCCCTTCTCATACGCTCTCATTCCCTCTCACCCACTCTCATACGCTCTCATTCCCTCTCACCCACTCTCATACTCTCTCATTCCCTCTCACCCACACTCATACGCTCTCATTCCCTCTCACCCACACTCATACGCTCTCATTCCCTCTCACCCACACTCATACGCTCTCATTCCCTCTCACCCACTCCCATACGCTCTCATTCCCTCTCACCCACTCTCATACTCTCTCATTCCCTCTCACCCACTCTCATACGCTCTCATTCCCTCTCACCCACACTCATACGCTCTCACCCCCTCTCACCCACTCCCATACGCTCTCATTCCCTCTCACCCACTCTCATACTCTCTCATTCCCTCTCACCCACTCTCATACTCTCTCATTCCCTCTCACCCACACTCATACGCTCTCATTCCCTCTCACCCACACTCATACGCTCTCATTCCCTCTCACCCACACTCATACGCTCCCATTCCCTCTCACCCACTCTCATACGCTCTCATTCCCTCTTACCCACACTCATACGCTCTCATTCCCTCTCACCCACACTCATACGCTCCCATTCCCTCTCACCCACTCTCATACGCTCCCATTCCCTCTCACCCACTCCCATACGCTCTCATTCCCTCTCACCCACTCTCATACTCTCTCATTCCCTCTCACCCACTCTCATACTCTCTCATTCCCTCTCACCCACACTCATACGCTCTCATTCCCTCTCACCCACACTCATACGCTCTCATTCCCTCTCACCCACACTCATACGCTCCCATTCCCTCTCACCCACTCTCATACGCTCTCATTCCCTCTCACCCACACTCATACGCTCTCATTCCCTCTCACCCACACTCAAACGCTCCCATTCCCTCTCACCCACTCTCATACGCTCTCATTCCCTCTCACCCACTCTCATACGCTCTCATTCCCTCTCACCCACACTCATACTCTCTCTTTCCCTGTCACCCACTCTCATACGCTCTCATTCCCTCTCACCCACACTCATACGCTCTCATTCCCTCTCACCCACACTCATACGCTCTCATTCCCTCCCACCCACTCTCATACGCTCTCATTCCCCTATCATCCCCTCTCATCCCCTCTCATCCCATCTTATACACTCTCACCCACTCTCATACACTCTCTTACACACTCTCAACCCTCCTCATCCACTCTCATACACTCTCAACTCCTCTCATCCTCTCTCATGCACTATCAGACACTCTTAAACACTCTTATCCCCTCGCATACACACTCATACCCCCTAATCCGCTCTCGTCCACCCCCATACACTTCCATACACTCTCATTCAATCTCATCCCCTCTCATCCCCTCTCATCCCATCTCATTCCCTCGCATATACTCTCATACCCACTCGTACTCACTCATATGTACACATATACACTCTCATCCCCTATTTTTCACTCCCATACACACTCATACGCTCTCATCTCCTCTCATCCCATGTCATTCCCTCTCATACACTCTCATACCCTCTCTTACCCACTCATACCCACTTATACACTATCATATACACTCTGATCCCCACCTATGCACTCCCATACACACTCATACACTCTCATACACTCCCTTTCACTCTCGTGCACTCTCATCCCTGGTCATCCCCTCTCATCCCCTCTCATCACCTCTCATCCCCTATCGTCCCATCTCATACACTCTCACACACTCTCATACACTCTCTTACACACTCTCAACCCTCCTCATCCACTCTCATACACTCTCAACCCCTCTCATCCTCTCTCATACACTCACATGCACCCTTATTCACTCTCATCCCCTCTCATCCATTATCTTATACACTCTCAGCCCCTCTCATACACACTCATACCCCCTAATCCGCTCTCATCCACTCTCATACACTTCCATACACTCTCATTCACACTCATCCCCTCTTATCCCCTCACATCCTCTCACATCCACTCTCGTTCACTCTCATACACTCTCATACACTCTCAACCACTCTCATCCACTCTCCTAAACTCTCGTACACTCATCATCCCTTATCATACACTCTCATTCCCTCTCATCCCCTCTCATCCCATCTCATTCCCTCTCATACACTCTCGTACCCACTCATACACACTCATACACTATCATATACACTCTCATCCCCTCTTATACACTCCCATACACACTCATACACTCTCCTACACTCCCTTTCATTCTCGTGCACTCTCATTCCTGGTCATCCCCTCTCATCCCCTCTCATCCCCTCTCACACACTCTCATACACTCTCTTACACACTCTCATCCCTCCTCATCCACTCTCATGTACTCTCAACCCCTCTCATCCTCTCTCATACACTCACATACACCCTTATTCACTCTCATCCCCTCTCATACAAACTCATACCCCCTAATCCGCTCTCATCCACTCTCATACACTTCCATACACTCTCATTCACACTCATCCCCTCTTACCCCTTCTCAGCCCCTCTCATACACACTCATCCCCTCTCATACACACTCATCCCCTCTCATCCCCGTACACATACTCCCGTTCCCTCTCATCCCCTCTCATTCCCTCTCATTCCCTCTCTTTCCCTCTTATCCCCTTTCATCCCCTCTCATCCCCTCTCATACGCTCTCATACACTCTCTTGTCTGTGTGACATTCTCTCTTGTTCCCTAACTCTTGAAAGGCTCTTAATTTTCCCCCTTCCATTCTCTCTTATTCACAATACTACACCCTATATCCGCATGGTCTTATTGTCCAACAGAGCTTGAGGCGGTCGTGAGGAACAACATGTTTCGCCTCATACGTTCAAGGTGAGAGGCTGAGGTTGAATACACATGTTGAATCTGCATGGTCTTTTTGTCCAAACTAGCTTAAGTGCATTGGTAAAATCAGCCATCGTTCATTTTCTAACAAGAATTGTATAAGATAACTTGCAAACATTCGTGTGGTATCCCTCTCATCCGTTTATTCAGGTCCTGTAGCAATTTTGATGTGCAGGAAGATGATGCTGTCAACATTTACAAGGGGAAGCTCTACCCAACTGCTGTAGCAGCAAGGGAGAAGGTGCGGTCGTACTGTAGGCAGCAGACGTTTGCTCCCTATTTCCGCTATAATCGGTCGAATCTCATTGAGGTGTGGTGCAAGTCCATGGAGGGCAAGGTATGGCCTCGTGGGGAGGTGCACATCGGAGAAGGGATGTGTCCATTCCGTGTTGTCATGCGGGGACCGCGCTATAGTAACCTGCGGGTCACGGTGGCTGATTTGGATCACGCCGATAGGTGTGTCACCGAAGCTGCAAGGATTCGGAGGGATGAGGTCAAAGAGGTTGCGCGTGAGATGCTAAAGCATGGCGACGTGAGACCCCATGCGCTGATTAGTCGTGTTCGGGCGGTTTTACGGGTGGAGTGCTCGTACACGGTAGCGCGCGAGGTGCTCTTTGAGCTGAGGAATGCGGATCCGTTTTGTGGAGACGATGGATTTCAATACATGGAGGACCTGTTAAGAAAGTTCAAGGATAAAAACCCCTCATCTGTCGTGTCCATGGTCAGGCGGGGAAATCACTTCTACCGTGCAGGAATTATATTTCCAGGGGCGAGGGATGCGGTCATGAACTGCCTGCCCATCATTTTTGCGGATGGATGTCATAATAAGACCGCATGGGGGGGATACACCTTGAACATATGCATGTTAGATAGCCAACACAAGCTTGTTATGTTGGGAGGTGCATGGGTGGAGGGGGAAAACAAGCATGCATGCGCCTTTCTATTCAATCTCCTTCTGGAGGCCGTTCCGGAGGTGAACTCCTCCGACTTTGTCATGATGCATGATAGGGGAGGGGCCTGGATATCCGCCACATCCACTTGTCTCCCCCTTGTACGGGAGTCTTTTTGCATCACCCATTTGGTTCGAAACTTCAAAAACAAGTTCAGGACAGATCTGGACGGACGAATTCTTGCAGCTGCCGCGGCTCTGACGGAGCTTGTGTACCTCAAGACAATGGAAAAAATTGAGATGGAATGTCCCGGTGGATCCTCGTACCTTGTGGACAATGGGTTAGGTGTTAAGTGGGCGACAGCTTATTTTGGAGCACCGCGTTACGGATGCCTGTCTTCCAATCCCGTTGAGTCTCACCATGCGTCGCTTTCGGGATTGCGGGATAAGAGTCCGCCGCAGGTGCTGCTAGGCTTGGCAGATAAGCTATCGACGAAGATCGAAGAGAGGCGCCAATTATACTCCGAGATGACAGCTGCTGACTTCCCTCCCAGGACAAAGCCAATAGTCCTTGGGAATCGCGATGAGGGCAAAAGATACAGGGTGGCTGAATCGGGAGTACACGAGTACATAGTACGCCAAGGGGACGAGAGGCGAGTCGTGACCACAAACCCCGTGGATGCTGCGGACACCCGCTGCTCATGTGGCTACACCAAGTAAGTGGTGTTGGGATTCTGTTTTTAGCACTGCTAGCGTATGTTTCACTTGTGTACTTGAATAGTGTGTTCATCGGCTTCCTAAATGTCATGCAAGATCAACCCTCATATTGTACCCACTCCAAATTTCAGCCCCCAGTTATGATGTTTAGTCTGCGTAACTTATGAAATCCCCTTTCCTGCTCATTTCTTCCAACATCATCTTCGGCCTAAGAGCCATGTAATCTCGTTCCTGCTGCTATTATCATGTTTTCTACAACCTTATGCTCATTTTCCCCTACGTTATACAGGCTGCCATGCGTGCACATCTTCGCCGTGTTCAAAAACGATGCTCAAAGGGCGCACGCAGTGATCCAGAAATATCACACAACTTCAGCACTGCAACAAGTGTACAGAACGCCGATCCGACTTCTCGACCTAACCTCTGTGGTCCCTGACGGCGTTACCCTCCCTCCGGTCTACAAGAAGAAGGCTGGTCGGCCCCCAAAGCGTAGAATGCGGTCCACAGGAGAGATGGACCCAATCAAGTTGCGCAAGTGTGGAAAGTGCGGTGAGTACGGTCATAATGCCCGAACTTGCGAGGTCCGTGCAGCCAACAGAGTGTTGTGGGAAGCTTTACAAACCCCCGCAGGGCAATTGTCAGTGCAAACAATGACGGACGCAGATGGTGCAGTGCATGTAGCCCTGTGCAACGCTTGCAACCGAACGCACCGCAGAGGGATTAGGTGTCAAGCCATGCGTAGACAAGGACAGCCAGGTGATATGGAGGAGGAGTCATGCAGCGAGGATGATGGGAGTGTCGGTTTGGTTGAAGGGATTGGTGAAGTGGATGAGGAGGGACGGGATGATCGTGATGCCGTGACATATGGTGGGGCGCTGGTCGAGGTGTTTGGTAGGGATCCCGGAACTGCCGGTGATGTTGGTCTTGGAGAACGCACAACCACAAACTCAGACTTGCCCACTCAAACGGACAATTCGGGGGCGACACAGATAGACATCACCCAAGAGAGTCAGGCGGGACGAGTGTCGGATACTTCGGTGGCCGAGCGGGTGGAAGGGTTGAGGACGGCGGAGGACGTGGTTGCAGGGCGTATACGGCGGATGCAGGGATTACTCCTGCAGCGTGATGTGGCAAGACAGGCAGGAGAGGAACGTGCAACAAATGAAGGTAGGGGCAGAGGCAGGGGACGCAATGCAAGCCGAGGAGAACGGGGAAGAGGGAGAGGGAGAGGGAGAGGGAGAGGGAGAGGCAGAGGCAGATATGGATCTCGGTCTACCACAGAACAGCAGGGAGGAGCTGAACGGTTGGAACAAAATGGTGGGAGCGGATTGGAAGGGATGGAAAGTCAGCAGGGGTTGAGAGGGCAGCAGGGGATGGGAGGACACCCGGGGTTGCGAGGGCAGCAGGGGATGGCAAGGCAGCAGGGGATGGCCTGGCAGCAGGGGAGCGGCGGACAGGCAGGGTTGGGAGGGCGGCAGCGGACGGGAGGGCAGCAGGGGTTGGGAGGGCAGCAGGGGATGGCAAGGCAGCATGGGATGACAGGGCAGCAGGGGAGCAGCGGACAGGCAGGGTTAGGAGGGCAGCAGGGGTTGGGAGGGCAGCAGAGGATGGGAGGGCAGCAGGGGTTGGGAGGGCAGCAGGGGATGGGAGGGCAGCAGGGGTTGGGAGGGCAGCAGGGGTTGGGAGGGCAGCAGGGGTTGGGAGGGCAGCAGGGGTTGGGAGGGCAGCAGGGGATGGCAAGGCAGCATGGGATGACAGGGCAGCAGGGGAGCAGCGGACAGGCAGGGTTAGGAGGGCAGCAGGGGTTGGGAGGGCAGCAGAGGATGGGAGGGCAGCAGGGGTTGGGAGGGCAGCAGGGGATGGGAGGGCAGCAGGGGTTGGGAGGGCAGCAGGGGTTGGGAGGGCAGCAGGGGTTGGGAGGGCAGCAGGGGTTGGGAGGGCAGCAGGGGATGGCAAGGCAGCATGGGATGACAGGGCAGCAGGGGAGCAGCGGACAGGCAGGGTTGGGAGGGCAGCAAGGGTTGGGAGGGCAGCAGAGGATGGGAGGGCAGCAGGGGTTGGGAGGGCAGCAGGGGATGGGAGGGCAGCAGGGGTTGGGAGGGCAGCAGGGGTTGGGAGGGCAGCAGGGGTTGGGAGGGCAGCAGGGGATGGCAAGGAGGCATGGGATGACAGGGCAGCATGGGATGACAGGGGAGCAGGGGTTGGGAGGGCAGCAGGTGTTGGGAGGGCAGCAGGGGATGGCAAGGAGGCATGGGATGACAGGGCAGCATGGGATGACAGGGGAGCAGGGGTTGGGAAGGCAGCAGGGGTTGGGAGGGCAGCAGGGGTTGGGAGGGCAGCAGGGGTTGGGAGGGCAGCAGGGGTTGGGAGGGCAGCAGGGGTTGGGAGGGCAGCAGGGGTTGGGAGGGCAGCAGGGGTTGGGAGGGCAGCATGGGATGGGAGGGCAGCAGGATACGAGAGGCCAATTTGGGTCCCAGGATGCGTTACAAGGGCAATTTGGGTACGTCCAAGCCCTTAACCAACGATGGGGACGCGTGGGAATGCCAATGCATGGGAACGTTGCAGGTCTGGAGCAACATTGGAGCCATGTGGGCATGCCATTGCAACGGGAGGTTGAGGGGTCGGCGTCTGGTATGCACAACAGGTCGCCGTGCCAACAGGGATACGAGAACAGCAGCAGCTCTTTGTAGTAGAACGTGTGGGCTATGCATCTTATTATTCATGGATACAGGATTTGACTTCAAGAGCGCTCTAGCATGTCCTTTTCTGTTACTTCCCACATTGTCTCTGCAACGTCACAAATGGTGGGGGCTTTGGGTATCAAAATACTCCAATGTCAGTGTATGGTGCTTATATTTAACACTTAAAAAAGGTGGTATCAAATGTTTAACATCTTCTGGTTGCATCTTTCTATTGCTTGTGTTGATCGGTGTGCACAATTTTAACAGGATGCTGGGGGGCATGAATGACAATGGTTGACAACCAGTTGTGGCCTAGTGGAATGTTGTTTACAATACCGTACAGGCATATGGGCATGCCACTCCAACAGTAGAGTGCGGGTTGGTGCATGGATTTGACATTAGGTGTCCTTGCTAACAGGGACAGAGAACAGCACCACTTGGGACTATGGTATGCATGAATAATCAGCCACAGTTCTAAGAATTTCAGGATTTTTTTAACCCAAATCAGCCTTTTTTTGCTGACTTCTGTGGTTGTTGTGGGCCGAGGAAGTGAGTGGAGCAGGTGCGTGACGCTATATCACTTCCCTTCCATCCCTGCAGGGGTTTAGATGGTACATACGGTAAATGTTTCAAAATTTGTATGTACAGTATGTCACATGGTTGTGGACGGTGCAGTATTGCACATATGCGATTGCTGAAAGCAGAGCTGGTGTTTGATACAAATGTTTCAGAACCCGCACGACAGTACGCAGTGGTGATTGTATTAAAATAACATCCAACGCCTTCGTTCTATCATGTTTTTGATGGTCTGAGCAGCTTTGTGTCCCACGGAGAAGCCAGCCACACTTCTACTACGAAACATGCTCGCAGATTATCGCAAACGTATTGCATTTGCATATGATAGTCATGGGCAATGCGGAGGACTATCCTGGTAGAACTCCCTAATCATATTCTGCCGACAATACAACCGAACATCCTCCCTCGCTTCTGCGGCTGACGGATAAACTTTCCCCTTGAATATGTTGCATACGTCAAAGTTCTGCACAGCGACATAACTAGTGCACCAAACGAAATAGAGATCAAGCAACATCACAACATTGCAATTTGTGAGTGAAATTTGGCATTACAATGATGTGTACGAACCCACGCACCGTAAACCATGAGTACTAGGATCTGGAAAGGCCAACCCTAAATTCATAGGCCAGACCTCACCTGGCTTGCAATGGGTGAGACATGACGCTGATCACAAGTGAGACGAGGTCTGATGGATAATGAGCATGGGAAGATAATGGGGAATGAGAGGGGATGATATGAACGGGGAATCAGGACCAGAGAGGTGATGAGAGGGGATGAGAGTGTATGAGAGTGGGTTAGAGTGTAGGAGAGGGGATGGGGGGGGATGAGAGTGTATGAGAGGGAACGAGAGTGTGTGAGAGGGGATGAGGGGGGATGAGAGCTTATGAGAGTGAATGAGAGTGGGTGAGAGGGAATGAGAGCGTGTGAGGTTGGGAAAGAGGGAATGAGAGCGTATGAGAGTGGGTGAGAGGGAATGAGAGGGTATGAGAGTGGGTGAGAGGGAATGAGAGCGTATGAGAGTGTGTGAGAGGGAATGAGAGGGTGTGAGGGTGGGTGAGAGGGAATGAGAGCGTATGAGAGTGGATGAGAGGGGATGAGAGAGGATGAAAGGGGATGAACGTGAATGAGAGGGGATGAGAGGGAACGAGAGTGAATGAGAGGGGATGAGTGGAAATGAGAGTGTATGAGAGGGGATTAGAGTGTAGGAGAGGGGATGAGAGGGAATGAGAGTGGAAGAGATGGGATGAGAGGGGTTGAGAGTGGAAGAGAAGGGATGAGAGGGAATGTGAGTGGAAGAGAGGGTACGAGAGTGTATGAGAGGGAACGAGAGTGTGTGAGAGGGGATGAGGGGGGATGAGAGCTTATGAGAGTTGATGAGAGTGGATGAGAGGAAATGAGAGAGTATGAGAGTGGGTGAGAGGGAATGAGAGCGTATGAGAGTGGGTGAGAGGGAATGAGAGCGTATGAGAGTGGGTGAGAGGGAATGGGAGCGTATGAGTGTGGGTGAGAGGGAATGAGAGCGTATGAGTGTGGGTGAGAGGGAATGAGAGCGTATGAGTGTGGGTGAGAGGGAATGAGAGAGTATGAGAGTGGGTGAGAGGGAATGAGAGCGTATGAGTGTGGGTGAGAGGGAATGAGAGAGTATGAGAGTGGGTGAGAGGGAATGAGAGCGTATGAGAGTGGGTGAGAGGGAATGAGAGCGTATGAGAGTGGGTGAGAGGGAATGAGAGAGTATGAGAGTGGGTGAGAGGGAATGAGAGGGTATGAGAGTGGGTGAGAGGGAATAAGAGCGTATGAGAGTGTGTGAGAGGGAATGAGAGGGTGTGAGGGTGGGTGAGAGGGAATGAGAGCGTATGAGAGTGGATGAGAGGGGATGAGAGCGTATGAGAGTGGGTGAGAGGGAATGAGAGCGTATGAGAGTGGGTGAGAGGGAATGAGAGAGTATGAGAGTGGATGAGAGGGAATGAGAGCGTATGGGAGTGGGTGAGAGGGAATGAGAGCGTATGAGTGTGGGTGAGAGGGAATGAGAGCGTATGAGTGTGGGTGAGAGGGAATGAGAGCGTATGAGTGTGGGTGAGAGGGAATGAGAGAGTATGAGAGTGGGTGAGAGGGAATGAGAGCGTATGAGAGTGGGTGAGAGGGAATGAGAGCGTATGAGAAGGGATGAGAGGGAATGAGAGCGTATGAGAGTGGGTGAGAGGGAATGAGAGCGTATGAGAGTGGGTGAGAGGGAATGGGAGCGTATGAGTGTGGGTGAGAGGGAATGAGAGCGTATGAGTGTGGGTGAGAGGGAATGAGAGCGTATGAGAGTGGGTGAGAGGGAATGGGAGCGTATGAGTGTGGGTGAGAGGGAATGAGAGCGTATGAGTGTGGGTGAGAGGGAATGAGAGCGTATGAGTGTGGGTGAGAGGGAATGAGAGAGTATGAGAGTGGGTGAGAGGGAATGAGAGAGTATGAGAGTGGGTGAGAGGGAATGAGAGCGTATGGGAGTGGGTGAGAGGGGGTGAGAGCGTATGAGTGTGGGTGAGAGGGAATGAGAGCGTATGAGAGTGGGTGAGAGGGAATGAGAGAGTATGAGAGTGGGTGAGAGGGAATGAGAGCGTATGGGAGTGGGTGAGAGGGAATGAGAGCGTATGAGTGTGGGTGAGAGGGAATGAGAGCGTATGAGAGTGGGTGAGAGGGAATGAGAGCGTATGAGAGTGGGTGAGAGGGAATGAGAGAGTATGAGAGTGGGTGAGAGGGAATGAAAGGGTATGAGAGTGGGTGAGAGGGAATGAGAGCGTATGAGAGTGTGTGAGAGGGAATGAGAGGGTGTGAGGGTGGGTGAGAGGGAATGAGAGCGTATGAGAGTGGATGAGAGGGGATGAGAGCGTATGAGAGTGGGTGAGAGGGAATGAGAGCGTATGAGAGTGGGTGAGAGGGAATGAGAGAGTATGAGAGTGGATGAGAGGGAATGAGAGCGTATGGGAATGGGTGAGAGGGAATGAGAGCGTATGAGTGGGTGAGAGGGAATGAGAGCGTATGAGTGTGGGTGAGAGGGAATGAGAGCGTATGAGTGTGGGTGAGAGGGAATGAGAGAGTATGAGAGTGGGTGAGAGGGAATGAGAGCGTATGAGAGTGGGTGAGAGGGAATGAGAGCGTATGAGAAGGGATGAGAGGGAATGAGAGCGTATGAGAGTGGGTGAGAGGGAATGAGAGCGTATGAGAGAGGGTGAGAGGGAATGGGAGCGTATGAGTGTGGGTGAGAGGGAATGAGAGCGTATGAGTGTGGGTGAGAGGGAATGAGAGCGTATGAGAGTGGGTGAGAGGGAATGGGAGCGTATGAGTGTGGGTGAGAGGGAATGAGAGCGTATGAGTGTGGGTGAGAGGGAATGAGAGCGTATGAGTGTGGGTGAGAGGGAATGAGAGAGTATGAGAGTGGGTGAGAGGGAATGAGAGAGTATGAGAGTGGGTGAGAGGGAATGAGAGCGTATGGGAGTGGGTGAGAGGGGGTGAGAGCGTATGAGTGTGGGTGAGAGGGAATGAGAGCGTATGAGAGTGGGTGAGAGGGAATGAGAGAGTATAAGAGTGGGTGAGAGGGAATGAGAGCGTCTGGGAGTGGGTGAGAGGGAATGAGAGCGTATGAGTGTGGGTGAGAGGGAATGAGAGCGTATGAGTGTGGGTGAGAGGGAATGAGAGCGTATGAGTGTGGGTGAGAGGGAATGAGAGAGTATGAGAGTGGGTGAGAGGGAATGAGAGCGTATGAGAGTGGGTGAGAGGGAATGAGAGCGTATGAGAAGGGATGAGAGGGAATGAGAGCGTATGAGAGTGGGTGAGAGGGAATGAGAGCGTATGAGAGGGGATTAGAGTGTAGGAGAGGGGATGAGAGGGAATGAGAGTGGAAGAGATGGGATGAGAGGGGTTGAGAGTGGAAGAGAAGGGATGAGAGGGAATGTGAGTGGAAGAGAGGGTACGAGAGTGTATGAGAGGGAACGAGAGTGTGTGAGAGGGGATGAGGGGGGATGAGAGCTTATGAGAGTGAATGAGAGTGGGTGAGAGGGAATGAGAGCGTGTGAGGGTGGGTGAGAGGGAATGAGAGCGTATGGGTGAGAGGGAATGAGAGGGTATGAGAGTGGGTGAGAGGGAATGAGAGCGTATGAGAGTGTGTGAGAGGGAATGAGAGGGTGTGAGGGTGGGTGAGAGGGAATGAGAGCGTATGAGAGTGGATGAGAGGGGATGAGAGGGGATGAAAGGGGATGAACGTGAATGAGAGGGGATGAGAGGGAACGAGAGTGAATGAGAGGGGATGAGTGGAAATGAGAGTGTATGAGAGGGGATTAGAGTGTAGGAGAGGGGATGAGAGGGAATGAGAGTGGAAGAGATGGGATGAGAGGGGTTGAGAGTGGAAGAGAAGGGATGAGAGGGAATGTGAGTGGAAGAGAGGGTACGAGAGTGTATGAGAGGGAATGAGAGTGTGTGAAGGGGAACGAGAGTAGATGAGAGGGGATGAGAGTGGATGAGAGGGGATGAGAGGGGATGAGAGTGAATATGAGTGTATGATAGTTGATGAGAGTGAATGTGGGGGAATGATAGTGTGTGAGATAGGACGAGAGGAGATGAGTGGGAATGAGAGTGTGTGAGAGGGGATGAGAGGGGATGAGAGTGGATGGGAGGGGTTGAGAGCGTGTGAGAGTTGATGAGAGTGGATGAGAGGGAATGAGAGAGTATGAGAGTGGGTGAGAGGGAATGAGAGCGTATGAGAGTGGGTGAGAGGGAATGAGAGCGTATGAGAGTGGGTGAGAGGGAATGGGAGCGTATGAGTGTGGGTGAGAGGGAATGAGAGCGTATGAGTGTGGGTGAGAGGGAATGAGAGCGTATGAGTGTGGGTGAGAGGGAATGAGAGAGTATGAGAGTGGGTGAGAGGGAATGAGAGCGTATGAGAGTGGGTGAGAGGGAATGAGAGCGTATGAGAGTGGGTGAGAGGGAATGAGAGCGTATGAGTGTGGGTGAGAGGGAATGAGAGCGTATGAGAGTGGGTGAGAGGGAATGAGAGAGTATGAGAGTGGGTGAGAGGGAATGAGAGCGTATGAGAGTGGGTGAGAGGGAATGAGAGCGTATGAGAGTGGGTGAGAGGGAATGAGAGCGTATGAGAGTGGGTGAGAGTGTATAAGATGGGATGATAGGGGATGAGAGGGGATGAGAGGGGATGATAGGGGATGAGCAGGGATGAGAGTGTATGAGTGTGTTGGGGAGTGTATAAGAGGGGATGAGAGTGTATATGATAGTCTATGAGTGGGTATGTGTGGGTACGAGAGTGTATGAGAGTGTATGAGAGGGAATGAGATGGGATGAGAGGGGAGGAGAGGGGATGAGAGTGAATGAGAGTGTATGATAAGGGATGATGAGAGTGTATGAGAGTATATGGGAAGGGATGAGAGTGTATGAGTGTGTACGGGAGAGTATGACGGGATGATAGCGTATATGATAGTGTATGGGAGGGTATGAGTGTGTACAAGAGTGTATGAGAGTGTATGAGAGGGGATGAGAGTGTATGAGAGAGGATGTGAGGGGATAAGAGGGGATGGGTGTGAATGAGAGTGTAATTGAGTTGTATGAGAGTGGATGAGAGCGGATTAGGGGGTATGAGTTTGTATGAGAGGGGATGAGAGTGAATAAGGGTGTATGTGAGTGTATGAGAGAGGATGAGAGGGGTTGAGAGTACATGAGAGTGGATGAGGAGGGATGAGAGTGAATAAGGGTGTATGTGAGTGTATGAGAGAGCATGAGAGGGGTTGAGAGTGTATGCGAGTGGATGAGGAGTGATGAGAGTGTGTAAGAGAGTGTATGAGAGTGTGTGAGAGTGTATGAGAGGGAATGGGAGGGGATGAGAGGGGATATGAGGGGATTAGAGGGGATGAGTGTGAATGAGAGTGTATGAGAGTGTATGAGTATGTGTGGGAGTGTATAAGAGGGGATGAGAGTGTATATGAGTGCATATGAGTGGGTACGAGAGGGTGTGAGAGTATATGAGAGGGAATGACATGGGATGAGAGAGGATGAGAGGGGATGAGAGTGAATGAGAGTGTATGATAAGGGATGATGAGAGAGTATGAGAGTATAGGAGAGTGTATGAGAGTGAATGAGAGGGGATGAGAAGGGATGAGAGGGAATGAGAGCGTATGAGAGTGGGTGAGAGGGAAGGAGAGCGTATGAGAGTGGGTGAGAGGGAATGAGAGCGTATGAGAGTGGGTGAGAGGGAATGAGAGCGTGAGAGAGTGGGTGAGAGGGAGTGAGAGCGTATGAGAGTGGGTGAGAGGGAGTGAGAGCGTATGAGAGAGGGTGAGAGGGAATGAGAGCGTATGGGAGTGGGTGAGAGGGAATGAGAGCGTATGAGAGTGGGTGAGAGGGAATGAGAGCGTATGAGAGTGGGTGAGAGGGAATGAGAGCGTATGAGAGTGGGTGGGGGGAATGAGAGCGTATGAGAGTGGGTGAGAGGGAATGAGAGGGTGTGAGAGTGGGTGAGAGGGAATGAGAGCGTAAGAGAGGGGGTGAGAGGGAATGAGAGCGTAAGAGAGGGGGTGAGAGGGAATGAGAGCGTAAGAGAGTGGGTGAGAGGGAATGAGAGCGTAAGAGAGTGGGTGAGAGGGAATGAGAGCGTATGGGAGCGGCGGGTTAGCGCATCACGGTGGCGGATCGTCGCAATGCGGCCGGCAGGGTGGCCGCATTGCGCATTGCGACGGCGGCGGCCTGGTCGGCGCGATGCGCGGAGCGGCCAAAAGCAGGACGCAATGCGCATCGCGGCGGCAGCGGCCCGGTCGGCGCGATGCGCTTTGCGGCCCGAAGCTGGCCGCAATGCGCATCGCGGCGGCGGCTGCTCCTAATCGTCGCGAGATGCATCTCGCGACGATCGGGCCCGATGCATCGGGCGATGCGCTGTTCGGCGCGCCGGTTTGTGGGCGCATCGCGACAGCGGTCTGATCGACTTTATTCATTCGTATTAGTAGTAATTTTCGAGTAACAAGGGACTAAACGTGAATGGATGGGGAAAGGCTTTAGGGCTAAGGCACGCACCGTTGATAGGGAGTCAGGTGCTGCTAACGAACGCCTTGGATGCGTGACGGGGAAGGCAGCTGGCGAAAGGTATGATAGCTACTAGTAATAGCGTGAGGAATAGCTGATGGCGGGAAGTAAGTTGGAGAGCTGCGCTGGGGTCAAGGTTCTGTACTTGGTTGGAACCGTAGCGGGCAGGGGGGTGTACAGCACGTCGGGTCGTGGTGTGGTTACGGTGGGCTGGAGGCTCGACGGTACAAGCGTGCATCAAACCTCTCCGCACGAGTTGGCGCGAGCGGGAAATCGGCCTGGTTTCAGGAATTTCTGGCGGGGGTTTCATGTGTTACCATTCGCGTGAAACCCTAGCTGTTGATGGTGACTGATTCCGTGACCCCGCTTACCAAGCCCGTCAGGACACTCGATACAGTTACCGTACGCTTTTTTTTTTTACCATTGACGTTATCGGGTCACATGATGGTTACCTGTGACATATTTTCCCTTAGGAAATAGAAGGTGGCATACAGGGGAGTACACCACGAAGAGAGAACAAGAATATACACTACCTAGTGTACATGTAGTTACATATAACAAATATAACTTCTAACAATTCCCTTATTACAGCGAAACTCTACCGTGCTACTCCTGACAGTTACAAAACTGTCGGGGCAGAATGCTCGCCACTCTGCTGCCCGATGCTACCTGCCCGACGGTCCAGATCCTTTCATAACTGCACGTACCTTCGCGTCACTTCCGCCTTTTCGCATTCAGCCTCAGTAATGCATGCTTCGATTAGCTGCGGTTAGGAGTGCACAATAATGCTTCATTCATTACTAAACGTAATAGGCTACGCCACAGGCAGTTATATAGAATGTATGCAAATATATTCCAACACATAGCTATGGTAGTCACTACATCACCACGTGCCTTCATTGTATTTTCAGTTAATTCAGTCACATCTTCGATATTCATTTTCCACGCAACTATGTCTTACTGCAACTCATGACTGAGCTTATAACAGAAGGGATGGAAATTGCCTGAACTGGAATATTCATTATCTTGTCGACTCCACGTTTGGGGGCTTTTGAATATCCCAAACCTGTGTTGGTGCATTGGTGGGTTGTGTGTGTTCATGATACAGTGACGTGAGAGATGGGACATCCAGGACTCCACCTCCACCTCATGTTCGAAGCTGTGCAATCACCGAGTTTGTCGGTGGGCACGTGCCATCGCTGACTCGTCACCAATGAGGAACTCGGCGGTGCAGTTTAGATTTTTTTGCTTCAATCGTTGGGTAGAAAACCGAGAGTGCCAATACAAGTTCGGGGTTAATCCCACGTACAATTCCTTGGTGACGACGTACTGAGACCCAAAGCGGTCGGGTCGACGACTCCCCGACCCCTCATTTCTAGGAAGGCTGTTTTGCGGAAAAAGCCGACCAGTTCGATCCAACTGAATTGGGTTGGGTCTGCCCGAACGGATTGACCAGGTCGGGTCGACTAGGTCGACCCAGCCCATCCCAACGGTTTGCGAGAAGTTACTTTAGCTAACGAGTTGTAATATTTCGCCCTCGTCTCGTTTTACAGTTGCGTACCAATGAAAAATCCAGCGGTTCAAGGTTTGTGCGTAACCACTGGTTTAGCGAGCTGTCGTCTCTCGTCACAGCTCGCCTAACCTGCAAGGAAGCCGGATACCAATTGCGCTGGAGGTGCTTCGACGGTGTGCCGAAAGCTCTCCAGAATTCTTTTTGGTTCCGAGCTGCGATGGTCAGGTCGACCTGGTCGACCAGACCCAACCCAATATTGCTGGGTCGCAACACGTCGTTACATTTTGATGCCCGAACCTTCATAGATTTGCTGATCTGTGTGAATGCTGACAAGGCACACAATAGCGAAACACTGGAGGTTCGGAATATCTGACACCTGAATCCGAAGCCAGTGATCTGGCTCGACGAAGGAATATTCCTCCAAACCTGCTTACTTCGCGTGCAAAATCGAAAGTTGATTGGGCTTGAGTCGTCGAGCCGCAAATGTGGCGGCTGCTTATCTGGTTCAGCGATACTCATGGAGGGAGCCAGGTTAGGGACGACGCGGTGACACGCTTTGAGGTGAGTCCTTACCAAACCATTTTGCTGCTCCTGTCTCGGAGTTATCCTCAAAAGGAGTTAGGAACTCTCTGAACCCTCATCTAGCCCAGATCCCAGAACCCCTAAACTTCAGCCCGGCTGTCGGGCACTCAAGTAGAATCGTGCTCTGAAGTTAGGCCCGCAAGGTTCCCGCAATGGCTGTCACCCTCCCTATACACTCGTACACATGGGTCTTCGTGATGACCATGCTGTTCGCGTTCTTGGATGGCTACTCCATCGGTAAGTTCTTGTCAGTTATACCTTTCACCCTTGCATTCATTGTTCAAGTCCGTCCAACGTTAAAGCGCTGTCTTGGTGTTGTCCTCAGGTGCCAATGACGTCGCCAACTCTTTCGCGACGTCGGTGGGCTCGCGGTCCATCACCCTTGCACAGGCTGTCCTGATTGCGATATTCACGGAGTTCGGTGGAGCGATTGCGCTGGGTGCGACCACAACGGGGACCGTGAAGGACAGCATCATAAAGACCTCCTACTTCAGTTCGCGGCCAGATCTTCTGATGTCGGGCTTCTTGTGTGCCCTGGTGTCATCCTCGTCGTGGGTCATGTTCGCGACGTACATGGGTTGGCCCGTGTCGACCACGCATTCCATCATCGGAGCACTCATCGGCGTAGGCATCAGCGGCTACGGCTTTGATTCTGTCAACTGGGGTTGGGATGGCAAGGGCGTTGCGCAGATCGTGACTTCGTGGTTCGTGTCTCCAGTCCTGGCGGGTATCCTTGCGGCTATTATCTACCTGATAACCCTTCACGTGGTCATGAAGAGCAAGAACTCCCTAAAAAGGGGTATTTGGGCTATTCCTATCTATTTTACCATCACCACTTTCATAGTCTCCTTCTATGTTGTGTCGAAAAATGGCCAAACCACCCTGGAAATTAAGCCGAAGACGACGGGCGGGAGTCTCCAAGTGACAGGAAATGTCGGACTGGCGTTCGGCATCATTGGCGCCATAACCGGGGCAATGCTGATCTTCTGTGCTGGCTTCCTGGTGCCGTACTTCATTCGCCGGCTGCAGAACGAGGAGACGCTCCAGTGGTACCACATGTTCATCATCCACTGCACGCCCACGCAGCCTCAAGACCCCAAGATCGACCTGTGGCTCAAGCGCGCGTTCACGCCGCATTTGCTGCAGGACGACGAGAAGCGCGAGCTGGGCATGGAGGTGGACGACGCGGAGGACGGCGCCAAGGACGAGCTCGCGAAGCCGCCGTCGAAGAACCTCGCGGTGCGCGCATTCAACAAGGTCAAGACACTGCTGTACCGGTCCATCTTCATGGACGTGGCGTCGGTGCAGAAGGACAACCACGGCGCCGTGCAGGCGCAGGAGGTGGCCGTGGTGTACGACAACAAGACGGAGTACCTCTACTCGCTGCTGCAAGTCGTCACAGCGTCCTTCGCCTCCTTCTCCCACGGCTCCAACGATGTAGCGAATGCTCTCGGTCCCCTGGCTGGCGTCTACCAAATCTGGAGCGAAGGCGTCTTCACCACCAAGGCCGAAGTACCCCGGTGGATGCTTGCATACTCGGGGATTGCTATCGACTTTGGCCTCGCCCTCTGTAAGTGACCAGGTCTTGACAACCTGTTGTTCCGCTTTGCCCCAAACCCTCGCGTATCTCATCCGAGCCCATCTATGCGTGTCCATATCGCAGATGGCTACAACATCATGCGCAACCTCGGCAACAACCTCACCTACCAGTCACCCTCGCGCGGGTTCTGCATGGAGCTCGGAGCAGCCCTTGCTGTCATCACGGCCTCGTTCCTGGCGCTGCCGGTCTCAACCACGCAATGCATTGTTGGCTCCACTGTCGCTGTCGGCCTGTGCCACGGCAATTGGCGCGCCATTAACTGGGCGATGGTTGCTGTGGCTGGCTTCGGTTGGCTGCTTACATTACCACTGGCGGCAACTGTTTCTGGGCTTCTGTTTGCCCTCCTCACCCGTGGCCCTAGCTTCACCCTGCCACCTGGCATGAGCTAAACGTTAGGTCAATAACCTCACCTGTTCAATGGTATCTGTTCCCTCCAGCTATTTGACGAATAGGAGAAGCCAATTGGATCACCAACGAATACCGTAGATTGCTGATTTATGCATTAAATCTGAGGGTAAAAAGCTAACATCTGTATGTGCTACTGGCTGACAGCTGGAGATTGACTAAACATTTGAAGGGTCGAAACTTTAGATAGGATATGAGTCAACAAAATGCAAAAATCTTACAGTATTCTCTAATACTAACATCGTATCCCCAGCAAGTGTCAAGAGGGGCTAGTGTCAAGCGGGGAATGCGCTTGACACCAGGTCGGGTCGCTCCCATGCGCGGCTCCAGGTTGGTGTCAATGTTGCCAACATTGAGCGAACCTCCAGCGATCCCCATCCCATCCCCTCGTGATCCAGGCGACCCCCCGCACGACCGAGAATTGACCCTGCACGACCGAGAATTGACCCTGCACGACCGAATATTGACCGCCAACTGCCTCCAACCGGCAGCACTCACGTCCGAATTTTAACATGCCGCAACACATCCTCACCAAATGCACGAACGCACCACCCCAACCCCGCTACCCGTAGTTCTTCGTGACTTAAACATGCAGAACCCTCACCTCCCGCAAAGACAGAAACCAACGTCGTGAGGTATTCCACTAAAATTAACCACACAATAGCTCTATGCGACCCACTCGAAATTGGCGAAGGATATTACATCATGGACCCGAAGGTCGCCACTGCGCTTCTAGCTGTAATGCAGCTGTGGTGTGCGTATTATACTCTCGTCTTCATCCCCATGGTTGCTGCAGCAAGCGAGCAATGGCTACTCCAGCAATCTGCCGTCAGTAACAACGTCGAACCCGTGGACGAGGGAGCTGCGCGTCTAGCAAAAGAGCGCCGTGATGTCCGCCGCCGGCGCCGCCAGACACGCATCCTGGAGTGGCAGGAGGATCTGCGTGTAATGACTGACGCCGAGTTCCAGGATGTCTTCCGCATTACCCGCGATATCCTGCACTACATCACTGACGCCATGCAAGTCCCTATGTCTCACTTTGTGGACCGCTATGACATCCCTATTCAACTCTGTATACTTATTCCTATCAAGTATTTTGCATCAGGTTTATCATATGTAGACTTGGCAGTCATTTTTGGCATTTCAAGTTCATTACTGCACATATTGGTAGACGCTTTCTTACTGCACTTTCCGCGGCGCTTCAAACGCGAATGGGTCAAGTTCCCACCACCAGAGGCCCATGCAGCCATGGCAGCCGATTTCCGGGCGGTGAAAGGAGTTCCAAACGTGATTGGCGCCATCGACGGCACCCATATTCAGATACGGGGTATGGAGGGGCACAGGCAAGAATATTATAACAGAAAGTCCCACTACTCGGTCCAACTGCAAGTCATATGTGATGCCAAGGGCATGATTTGGGACTACAACGTCGGGAATCCAGGATCTAACCACGATCAATGCGTTTTCACGCAATCCGCACTCTCCGCAAGGCTGGAGAATGGAGAAATCGCTCCTTACCAGCTGGTCGCCGACGCGGCATACCCTTTGCGCGACTACTGTCTTGTCCCGCTGCACGCACCAAGGAAACGGTTGATGAAGAGATGGGAGCAGAGCTTCAACAAGGTGCAATCGGCCACCCGGATGGTGGTTGAACGTACTATCGGCGCGCTGAAGAACCGGTGGCGGCTATTCGGCAGGCGCCACGAATGCAAAGTCTGGAGGGTGTGTGCGGGAACTGCATGTATCATTATTCTGCATAACATGCTCACCAGCATGGGAACGCCGAGGATGAGAACTGGAAACCCACGGGCATCCTTCTGGAACACCCATGGCAGCCCGTGGTGGACACGTTCCGGCATGTCAACATATGTCTGGCCAGTGCTATCAAGGGCTACTGCAGCTGCGCTGAAATCACGGCGCAAACACTTCGGAAAGCACATTCATCGTGCTTACCTACGTCGTCATCGGGCGCTCCGAGCTACAGCGGCTGCGTAGATGGCCCAGGGTTGGCATCGTTGCGCGTCTCTGGTGCGGAGAACAGTGGGCGCTGCGTGGGCGGGTGCAGGGGCCTGCCATTCCCATCTGCCGTTGCATTCTCCGGACGGGCAGCACTCGCAGGCGGAGGCACGCCATGTGCAGCCAGGGTCATAGCCGCCACCACAAATTGGGCCATTTGGTTCAGTTGCTGCAGGCCTTCCTTCGTGCAGGCGACAATAGTTTCCGAGATCAAGCGTGCACCACCCATGGTTGCCGTCTCGTCTACGCGGCGCCTTGGTGTCTTTCCCGGCGTGCCAGCTCCTGTGATGGTCGTGTTAATTGTGGGGGGGCGATGAAGTAGGAATTTAGGCGCCTATGTGTATGTGCCAGGGAATGCATGGTCGTCTTGTTCTGGGTTTATTACGGGAATAAAACACTCCACTAGTAGCATGCGCCAAGGAAATTCCAGACTTACCTGAAGCGGCGGCCATAGGAGCAGGTGTGCCTGACGGACCAGCACTGTCGTCGTTTGGGCCGGGAATGTACGCGTTAGGGTCCACGTCAGTCACGCCCGCTCCTCCGCCATCCACCACATGCGGCCTAACGGCCGCCGTGCCATGCTTGAGGTTCTGCACATATCCCCACCATCGTGGCTTCTTTGTTGCCTTGTTACCGGATCCCATGTCCTTGCGGGCCAGCTTGCGGTAGTCCGCCACAATGCGCTTCCAGGCCTGCTTCATCGGCTCGCTCTCGCGATCCCATCCCGGGTTTGCCTTCTTCATATGTTTCCGCAGTTTTTTCCAGTACTGCGAGCCTTGTTTCCCTTTCAGTGCCTTTATGTCGTCTCGGGTGTTCCAGCGGGCCGCAGCCAATTCCACAAGCTCCTCTGGAGCCCACTCTGTGTTGTAGTTGTTGTCCGTCTTCGCGCGGGACTTGCGTCGGGGCCGTTTTCGCCCGGCTGCAGCTCGAGTCGTCGCGTCGCCATCTTCGTCATCCCCGTCCTCGCTTTCGTCTGCGTCACTGTTGTCCGAATCTGCCTCGCTTTCACTCGATGACACTATCTCCTCGAGCTCGTCAGAGTCGACGTCAGAGTCTGCGTCGATATTTTCGGCGGCGCCGTCCTCGTCGTGGGCGATGTACGGCGCGGATGGTCCTGGGGCGTCGGCAGCCTCGTTCGCGATGCGTGGGCGAGCTGCCCCTTTTGCTTCCTGCGCTTTCATCCAGACGACGTAAGGGGGATCAACCCACGGCTTCTCCTCATCCGCCCTCTGCTTGCCTTTCTGGCTGCTTTTCTTGCGTGGCGGCATATTGGATGGAGGATGTGACGATGGCAGCGTTGGTTGTTCAATTGGAGGTCATTTCGGGGTTGTGATGTTCAGATATGTGTTGGTGTGTTCGTACATGCCGAAGTGTGTTCACAGATCTAGTGTTGCAGGCAGTTGGGGCAGTGGTTGTGTTTCCAATTCCCGCCGCGAATTTAAACGGTTTTGGTTGCACAAGACTGACGGGCGCACGAAAGATGTGTATGTGCGATTGGGGACATTTGCAGGTGTTTGGGTGGTGTGCGATTTGTCAGAAGTCGCAGGGGGGGGGGTTGCGATGTGTCAGGTCAACTTCCTGAGATACCACTTCTTGACACCAGGAGGTTGTCAAATGTTGTAGCCTGTAGTGAGGTTTGTCTTAGGGGGTACAAAAGTTAGGGTTTGTTATATGTACCCCAACCAACATCAATGGCATCATCATTCCTCATTTTGACATGGTATCAGCTAGGTTAGGATCCTGTGGGATCCCGTTCCTCCGTTCTCCGTTCGTCCCTCCCGAGCCTGATCCTACCTCTCGTTCGTACCGGTTCCGTTGTTACCGCGCCTAGTACCGAGCCTAGCGCCCTCTCCCCCGTCGCTTAGCGCCCTTTCTCCCCGTCGCCTAGCGCCCTTTCCCCCCCCCCCCCCCCCCCCGTCGCGTCGCGCTCTTTCCCCCCGTCGCCTAGCGCTCTTTCCCCCCGTCGCGTCGCGCCCGTTCCCCCCGTCACGTCGTGCCCGCCCTTTCCCCCCCGTCCCGTCGCCCTGTCCCGTCGCGTCGCCCTGCCCCGTCCCGTCGCCATGCCCCGTCGCGTCGCCCTGCCCCGTCCCGTCACCCTGCCCCGTCGCGTCGCCCTGCCCCGTCGCGTCGCCCTGCCCCGTCCCGTCACCCTGCCCCATCGCGCCGCCCTGCCCCGTCGCGTCGCCCTGTCCCGTCCATACGCCCTGGCCCGTCGCCCTACCCTACGCCCTGGCCCGTCGCCCTACCCTACGCCCTGGCCCGTCGCCCTACCCTACGCCCTGGCCCGTCGCCCTACCCTATGCCCTGGCCCGTCGCCCTACCCTACGCCCTGGCCCGTCGCCCTACCCTACGCCCTGGCCCGTCGCCCTACCCTACGCCCTAGCCCGTCGCCCTACCCTACGCCCTGGCCCGTCGCCCTAGCCCGCTCTTCCGCTGCGACTGAGTCCCCTTCCCACCTGAACCCTAATTTGCCTCTTCTCCCCGGTTGTTACTCGCCTGTTCGTTCGCGTTAGTTCTCACTATGGCGACTCCGCGAGTTCTTCGTTTCGACGCTGACGGTAGACCACTTGACTTTTCCGTCTGGCTTCTTCGGGCTCGCCGTCTGTTAGAGAGTCAGGTCCAGGAGGGCGAGACCCTCTGGTCGCACGCTACTGGTGACCTCCCCGAGCCCCCCGAGCCTACAGCTTTAGGCTCTGCCCCTGACGACGCTGCTACGGCTCGCTTTTCCCGTCAGCGCGCTGACCGGACGGCTTGGACGTCGCGTGACGCTGCGGCCTGCATCGCACTCAGCAGCCTCCTCCCTGAGTCAGAGGAGGTCCACTTTACTCAGGTTCGCACCGCTGCTGCGTACCTCACTGCGATTAAGGCCTGCTACTCTACTCCCGCTACTGTCTCTCTTGGCCGTCTTTTCCTCCCGTTCCTGTTTCCTGATCTCGCCTCCTTTGAGCGCTCTGCTGACTTGATCGCTCACCTCCGCTCGCTCGACGCTAGTTACCGCGCTGCTTGCACTGAGGCACAGCTTGCACTGCTTCCTCCCCCCATGGCGATTACTGTCTATTTCATCGCCACTAGCCTCCCTGACCGCCACTACGGGACCAGTCACTGCACGTCACACTACCACTTTACCGTGTCCTGCTGCTCCCTCCGGGTCTCTCACTGGGTTTCACGTCCCCTCGTTCTCCCGGAACTTGGTAGGCGTGCGACCCCTCGTGAGCCAGCACGTGGGTGTGTGGTTTGAGCCTTCTGGAGAGACTGCGGTGTGTGTTGACGGAGACTCTTACCAGCCTCTTGCTACCTTTACTGCTGAGCCGGGCTCAGGTCTCTACACTCTTCACACTGGCCTGCGTGCGCCGCAGCAGCAGCCGCAGCAGCAGCAGCAGCCGCAGCCGCAGCAGCAGCAGCAGCAACAGCTGCACCAGCGGTCGCACCAGCAGCCGCCCCTACTGCCACTGCCCCCGGTTCCCCCCCCCCCGTTCGGGTCCCCGCGTCTCACCAGGTTGCTTCGTCCCCCCAGGTGTGTGTGTCGTGTCAGGTTCCTACGTCTGCTCCAGTCGCTGCGTCGTGCTCCTGCCGGTCGCTTGCCCACCCCACCGTTCTGTGGCACCACCGGATGGGGCACCCGTCCCTTCCTCGTCTGCGCGCTATGTCTAGTCAGCGTCTTGTCCTAGGCCTCCCACGTGTCTTGCCGTCGCTGCCGCCTTCGCTTGCGCCGCCGTGTGGTCCCTGCGTCGAGGGTCGGCTGCGCGCCGCCCCTCACTCCTCCTCCCTTCGTCCGGCCACCGAGCCTTTTGAGACGCTTCACTTGGACGTCTGGGGCCCCGCCCCTCGTCTAGGCCCTGAGCGTGAGCGCTACTTTCTGGTGGTCGTTGACGACTTCTCCCGCTACACCACAGTGTTCCCTCTGGCGAAGAAGTCTGAGGTGACTTCTACGCTGATCAGGTGGTTGCTCACCACCGAGGACACTCGTGGTCGTCGTGTCAGCTGCCTCCACTCCGACCGTGGGGGTGAGTTGCGCTCCGGCATTCTCGCTGGATTCTGTCGCGAGCAGGGCATTCGTCAGTCCTGGACGCTTCCAGAGTCCCCACAGCAGAATGGGGTTGCTGAGCGCCGCATAGGCCTGGTCATGGAGATCGCCCGCACCTCCCTGACTCACGCCTGTGCCCCCCATTTTCTGTGGCCCTACGCGGTCAGGTACGCCGCGCACCAGCTGAACCTCTGGCCACGTGTCTCTCGACCAGAGGTTTCACCGACCAGTCTTTGGACAGGGTCCCCTGGTGTTGCGTCGCGGTTTCGTGTCTGGGGGTGCTTGGCTCTTGTCCGCGGCGTTGGAGAGAGAGGAGAGGGAGTTACAGCGGCTGGAGGAGCAGCAGCAGCAGCGGGAGCCGCAGGAGCAGCAGCAGCAGCAGCAGCAGCTGGACCCGCAGGAGCAGCAGTCCCAGCAGCAGCCGCTTCCGCAGCAGCAGCAGCAGCAGCCACTTCCTCCTCCTGTCTCGGGTCTTCGGACCCTTGGTCTCCCCTCCCCTTCTCCTCCCTCCTCCGCCTCTCCTCCTGTCTACGGTCCCACGTTTCCTCCTCCTGACTCCTCCCCCGCTGTTTTCCCCAGTTCTCCGCCTTTGTCCTCTCCTCCTCCGTCTCGTTCTTGGGCTACTCGTCGCTCCCCTCGTGCTCGTCCCTCGTCTCCTGTTCCCTTCACTGACCTTCGTACTGCCTTCCTTCTTTCTAGTCCACCTCGTCCGTCTCAGTCTGTGCTTCCGTCTCCTCCTGAGTCGGCCCTCACTGTGTCGCTCCCTACTCCTGTCACTGACTACTACCGCACGTACCGTCCTGTTCTCTCTCGTGTTCTCGCCTCTCTTGTTACTCACCCTCGTGCCTCTGTCTCCTCTGTGTCCGCTCTTACTGCCGCAGTTACTGACTTTGCCTCTACCCGCCGCCTTGACTACGCCACCACGCTTGTGGCTGCTCCTCCTACCAGTCCTCTGGCCGTCGGGGGTGTGTCTGCCCTTGGCTGTGACGCCCTAGAGGACAGGCAGTTTGAGCTAGAGTTCCTGGCGGCCGCTTCCCCTCATCTCTGTGCCATGCTCCTCGCCCCTGAGGGTGACCCCGACGCCCTTGACATTCCGACTCCTCGCACTTACGCTGAGGCAGTGTCAGGGCCTTGGGCCTCTCAGTGGAGAGCTGCCATGGACGCAGAGATGGCCTCCTACAGATCCACAGGCACCTACGTCGATGAGGTTCCCCCCCCTGGGGCGAACGTAGTCGACGGCATGTGGATCTACAGGGTGAAACGGCCACCGGGATCTCCCCCGATCTTCAAGGCGCGCTACGTGGCTAGAGGTTTCAGTCAGCGCGAGGGAGTTGACTTCTTTCAGACCTTCGCACCTACCCCGAAGATGACCACTCTTCGGGTGTTACTACACGTAGCAGCACAGAGAGACTACGAGTTACACTCTCTCGACTTCTCCACTGCTTTCCTTCAGGGCAGCCTACACGAGGAGGTCTGGTTGCGTCGTCCCTCGGCCTTCACTTGCACCTTCCCTCCTGGGACCCAGTGGAGGCTGAGGCGACCTGTTTACGGTCTTCGCCAGGCCCCTCGTGAGTGGCACGACACTCTGCGTTCTACCCTCTCTAACCTTGGGTTCCAGCCGTCTTCTGCCGACCCGTCGCTGTTCGTTCGTCGTGGCTCCACACCGTTCTTTGTTCTGGTTTACGTCGACGACCTCGTTTTCGCCACTCCGGACAGGGTTGCTTTGGCAGACGTGAAGTCCGAACTGCAGAAGAGACACACGTGCACTGATCTTGGTGAGCTGCGCCACTACCTTGGCCTGCAGATCACCAGGGACAGAGCCGCTCGCACCATTACACTCTCACAGTGACACATGGTGCAGCAGGTCCTTCAGCGGTTCGGGCTTCAGCACTCCACCGTATAGCGCACACCTCTCGCTGTTGACCACAGACTCACTGGTCCCTTTCCTGACGAGCCGTTTGAGCCTAGTGGTCCCTACGCAGAGCTTGTGGTGTCAAATGTTGTAGCTTGTAGTGAGGTTTGTCTTAGGGGGTACAGAAGTTAGGGTTTGTCATATGTACCCCAACCAACATCAATGCAACATCCATTCCTCATTCTGACATGGTATCAGCTAGGTTAGGATCCTGTGGGATCCCGTTCCTCCGTTCTCCGTTCGTACCTCCCGAGCCTGATCCTACCTCTCGTTCGTACCAGTTTAGTTGTTACCGCGCCTAGTACCGAGCCTAGCATCATCTCCCCCGTCGC